CGGTAGGCAAGGCGACATCGGGGAGCCTGTCTGCCTTGTGCACCACGCTGTCTCAATGACAACCTGCAGAACAAAGGCCTAAACCTCCAGCCCCCTGTACTCCCAAACCTCCCCCTTGCACCCTGAACCATACCAGCAACAATCGCCAACCTGTGCCCTGCTCTGGACCTTTGCTTGCTCAGCAGCTTCCCTCCTCCCACCTCTGCCTCTTTCTGAACCCCCGCAAAGCATAGCACCCCCGTTGGGCTGGGCCTTGGACCATGCCACGTGGCTCCTGTCCCATAAAGCAGGGTCAGGCTGGGCCCCAGCAGGCCCTTTGTCCCCTGTGGTTAATGATGTCTGAGAACGTCTACTCAGGTCAAAGGGCAGCCTGATTTCTAGAGGAGACTCGGACTCTCCCCATCACTGGCGGCCTCAGGCAGGCTCTCGGGCCTCTGCCCATCGCTACCACACCTGAAAAATCCCGTTGTCGTCTGGCCGCCTGGATCTGTGTCTGTATTGGAGAAAGGGAACCCTGGTGAGGCCCTTCAGGCAGGCTCTGGGGGTTCTGAGGTGTCAGTCAGTTAGGTGTTTATTTAATAATTGAACCCTTGCCGAACCTGGTTTGGCTCAGTGGATAGAGCATCGGCTTGTGGACTGAAGGGTCCCAGGTTTGATTCCAGTCAAAAGCATGTACATTGGTTGCGGGCACATCCCCAGTAGGGGATGTGCAAGAGGCAGCACATGAGAGCAATGTTTCTCTCTCATCGATGTTTCTAGCTCTCTCTCTCTCTCTTGATCTCCATAAAAAAAAAAATCAATAAAATATATATTTTAAAAAAAATAATTGAATCCCTCAACTGAAGGACTTGTATACATGCATATAAGTACAACCAATGGACACAAAACTCTGGGGAGGGAGGGTATGTATGGGAGGGGGCGGGCAATGTTAAAATACTATGTACACAGATAATAATTTAATTTAAAAAAAACCTCACTGGGTAGTGCCCTGTAGATGGCCACCTTCTCATCTGAAAAAAATAAATAAATAAATAAAAATTGAATCCTTATATGTGCAACTCCTGGCCCACTGTGTTGGTTGGGGAGACCCACTGCTGTAACAAATTCTCATAATCTCAGTGCTTAACCCAGTGAAAGGACATTCTTTGCTCACACAAAGCCCTGGGTGGACACCCCTATTGGGCTAACCCCCTTGGGCAGCCTTCCTCTGAGATCATTGCTTTCGGGGCCGTCTTGTGCTGCTCATGTCTTCAGCGTGGGGCCTGAGGGAAGCAGCAGCCTTGCAGGAAAACAAGAGAGTTTAATAATAAAACTGTCTTCCTTCTGGCCCCTGGAGCCTCTCCCTATCCCCCACCTCTTGTCCTGGTCCCCCCACGGCTAATGGCCACTTTGGACTCCATCCCAGCCAGGTTGGGGGTCACGGGGTCACAGCCATCAGTCTCACCTCAGATCTCTGCTCCAAGAGTTACCCCACCTGTTGGGGACCCTCTGCATGGCCAGCTCAGCTTCTGTTTTCCAAGCTGGCCCCCAGGGGTCTCCCCTCCTGGTATTTGCAGCCCTGTACGAAGTGTGGGCTAGATGTGGTGACTCACACCTAATAGAATAAGGCGGGATGGATGGTGTGTGCCGCAGAGGCTAGACCACACATGGTGGTGTGGCCTCTCTTGCCTGGCCTGCTCCGGGTCATTGGCAGCTCTTTGGAGAGGCCCACATATCGGTGAGGGACGGAAGCCTCCTGCTAATGGCCACGGGGTGCAACCTCATGACAGGTCTGTGCCAGGACCCTTCCGATTCCTGACCGTCAGAAGCTGTAGGACAATACACGTTTGTTGTTTAAAGCAGATAAGGTTTGGAGTATTTGTTATGCAGCAATAGAGAGCTAATTTAACCACTTCTAGAGGCAAGGTGGTCTTCTTCCTTCATTCCTGCCCCGGCCCAGTGTCCCCACCAGGAAGCTCCCAGTGGTAGCTCATATATGCAATCGGCTCACATCCCCTGTGGTGCCGGCTTGCCCCAGGTCTGGTGCTGAGTGCTGGGATGGGGCTGAGGGAGGAAGGATATGGTCTTGGTTCTCAGGGAGTTCCCAATCCTCCGGGAGACAGAGGAGTCCACTCACCCTGTCCTTTACATCCCCACAGGGAGCCTGAAGGAGGGGTAGCTAACAGACTCAGGGCAGTGGGGAGGAGAGCAGGGTTTGAGGGTGAGTGGGGTGTGCTAAGGTTTACTGAAGGTGGTGATCTTTGGAGGGTGGGGGTAAGTAAATTTTTTTTTTAATGAAGTTGAATGTTTTATTATTAAACTCTCTTGTTTTCTTGCAATGTTGCTGTTTCGCTGTATAAAAATAGCGCCAGCAAACTCAGTGTATTGCAAGATGGAGATAGTATTGTTTGTCACCGGACACTGTAATGACTAACAAAACTTTTCCCCCTCCGGTGACTTCCACGTCGCCCAAAGCTTCCTGCACAGAACTGCTGATTCCCACTGTCCCTACCGTTTCCTGCTGTTACCCATGCCTGTCTCTCTGCGGACTCCCTCCGCATGAAGAGCAGACTGGGGACAGGGCGCAGCATCAGGGAGGCACCTGCTCTCAGACCCAGGGCAGCGGGCACAGAGGTGGTAAGCAGGCAGCAGGTCCTGTTCGCAGAAATTGGGTGGGGGTGGGAGTGGTGGTTCATGGCACAAGTCCTCGGCCACCCTACCGGCCTGGAGGTGAGTGATGCTGACCAGGTGGAGGAGAAAGTGTGTTCTGGGGGAAGGGATCAGTGTGCTCCAGAGCTCAGCAGGTCTGAGAACCGAGTGGGTTCAGCCAGCAGAGAAGGGCGAGCAGTGAAGGGAGCAGCTGGTAATGAGGTGCAGGGGAGAAGGTCTAGGTAAAGTGTGTGTGGTGGGGAGGATGAGGATAAGAAGGGCCTCCAATGTCAGGCCGAGGAGGAGTTTAGAGGCATCGGAGACCAGTTTAGGGAGTGGGTTTTGTTTGGGAGAGGACATTGGTGCTTTGTGTGGGTGGCCCGAGCGCCCTGGAGGCTGGAGTGTCTGTACGCAGTGTTTGCCCAGGGACCACCAGGGTGCTGAGTGTTGTTGCAGAGGAAGGGGAAGCCTGGGAAACCCCATCTCAGTCAGCCAGAGGCACGGGGAAGGCTTCCTGGAATAGATGAAGCCAGTATTGAAGGATAAGTGGGAATGCCCTTGACAATGGGAATGGGGAGATGGCATTCCAGGCAGAGAGCACATCATTGGCAAAGCCCAAAGGGGAGAGGAAGAGCATGGCTGACATGTGGCAGTGCAAATGGTTCGGTCTGAGGAGAGGGAGGAGGAGAGAGGAGGGCAGGAGGACTGGGCAGGTGGTGGAGAGTGGCTAAGGGCGGGCTAAGGAGCTTGGGCTTGGAGGGGGACATCTTCTGTCTTCTGCTGACCCCTCCAGTCCTCCGCCCATGGTGTCCACCCTGCTCCTTCCTGGGAGACCCACCTGCATGGACGGCAGCCCCAGGCCCTCAAGCTTCCACCTGGGTTCAGTGGGGATGCTCACCTGCCTCCTTCTCTGCAATAATGGCCCCTGCCAGAGGCTCTCCTGACCCGGTACCTGCTGCCTCCACTGAACCTTCCAGGCCTCAGGGTGGCAGCAGTACTCTGCCGCCCTTCCGGCCCAGCCTGGCTTAGTGCACCTTCCCATGTGCGTCCCCACACCCAGACATGCCTCAGAAATTGTTCTTTTATCCAACCCTCTGTGTGTCCCCAGCCTTTTGTACAGTGACGTCACTGCTCCTCCCATGAGGAGGGGACTCTATTCCTCTCCCCTCAATCTGGTGGCCTCAGGGCTTGTTTTGACGGACAGAAGGCAGTGAGGTGCTGTGTGCACACGTGCAGCCTGGGACGTAAGAGACTTTGCAATCTTGCTCTCATTCTTTTGCAATCCAGCCCCCACTGAATGCTGAGAGATGGGTCAGTCTGGAGTGAGGCCCAGTGCCCACATCGGCACAGAGAGGCCCAGTGGGTCCAGCCCCCCAGCGGTCCCAGCCCAGCCTACCCACCGCCGAATGCAGCTACATGAGAGCCGGGCAAGATGGGGAAGAGCCACCGCCGGGCCACAGAACTGGGAGGAACAGGGGTCCTCCGTGTCCAGCCATTGTGCTCTCTAGTGGTTCACCATCTGCAGCAGCTCACTCCGGTGGGTGGGTACTTCTCTCCTTGGCCCTGCCCCTGCCATTTCCTCCAAGTCTCCCCCTGGCTGGAGATCGTCATTCCCGGCTCCGCACTTCTATCCTTCCTGTGACCCGGACACACTCTTCCTCCCAGGGTATCAGGCACCTCCCAGGGACACAGGGACTCTCATCACCTGACTCCCACTTCCACGTGCTCTGCGTCACTCCCGACAGGACACCGGGCAGCTTACCATCTCAAAACAGCATCTCATTATGCTCACAACACCGGAGGTGATATGGTAATCCTTATTTTCCCGATGACTGAATGGAGGTTTGGAGGTGATTGCCCCAGAGTTCCTAAAAAGGGATGGGCCAGGATTCGAACCCAAATTTATTTACACTTCTCCAAAGGTGCCATGGTGTGTCTGTTGGCATGACCTGCTCCTGGCAGAAAGAGCCTGCTTCCCTGCTGGCGGAAGAGGGGGATTCGCAAGGACTGGTTTTACCCAGCCATCCTGCCCCTCCACGTCTGTCCCAAACCCGGGAGTCCAGAATTCTTTCCGCCAGGCATCGGTCCCCGCTCACCCCTCATCCCCCTGCAGACACATACTAACACCCACTCTTCACGTCTGGTCTTCGTCCTCTGTCCTGGTCTGCCCTGTGTCTCAGCCCACCCATTCCCCTCTTTCCCAACAGAACAGGGCCCGAGGCGGTATGCTGGGGGCTGACAGATGCACGTGACCTTCTCTGGACCAATCTGAGACCAGAGATTCACCTTCTGGGAAGATGAGACAGGGCCAGGCTGGGGGTCAAATCCCTGTGCACTGGGGAGTGTAGAGGAAGAGAAGAAGAGAGGAAGGCTAACATAAAACCCTTTCATTTATTGAATGAAAGTTCATGGAGCCCCCTTCTTTGTGCTCAGACAAAGGGGCTGACGTTACAAAGGACAAGTAAGAGGTACCTCGGGGAGCTCTCAGCCTGTGTGATGTCAGAGCTGAGACCCGTAGGCCATCTTACTCGGTCAGGGAAACCGAGGCTCAGAGGGAGGGTGAGAAGGCCTGCCTGTCACCACACCACCAGTGGCAGAGCACAGCTCTGCTCACCCAGCTCAGGAGGGAGGAGCTGGGATGTCCAGGGTGTAAGGTGAGGGAGCTAGGAGAAAGGGCTGGAGCTGGCGGCTTCCTTTTCACTGTCATTCAAGGCAGAGGAAGGAAAACCTGATAACCGGTCGCTGCTCTCTCTTCTTTGTCCAATGAGTGCCGCTACAACAGAGGACACAAACCGTTCTCTTCCAGCCCTCTCTCCCATCTCCCGGCGGAGCAGACCAAGGAGATGGAGAACCTGCACAGGTGTCCCAGGGTGAGTCTGGTCGCCCCTCCACGTCGTCAGCTGTGACTTGGGGTTGGATGTGCAGGAGGCTAGGAAGACTCTGGAGGTGGTGTTTCAGGGATGATGCTTCCAGGAAGCCTTCTCAGATCATAGCGCCTCCCACGGGGCTCCCTCAGGCCAGCCCTGCCCCTGGGAGCATCCCGTTCCTCCGGGGAGGCGCTCAGCAGAACTCCAGGTGCTGGTCCTCGGGGACGTTGTACTTGAGCTTGTGGGCTTCGAAGAGGTTGCACAGCTCGTCGATGTAGTGCTGGTGCAGCTTGTCCACCTCCTCCTGCGAGGGCTGCGGGGTCTTCTGCACCTCGATGGGCTTCCCCACTGCAAGACACAGAGGTGGGGGGTGAGCTGGAGCAGGGGTCCAGGGGCAGGAAAGTACTCCTACTGCCACCCCTTTCCACTTTATTTCGAGTGATGAATTCTAAGATGTTAGGGCAACTCCAAGATTCAGAGGTTATGACATCACCACCAGCTGGCATTGCAAAATGCCTGGAAATGTGCCAGGTGCTTTCCATGCACGATCCCCTTTAATCCTTGTAATCATCGTCTGGGGGTAGAACCTGCTATCATTCCCATTGGTAGATGAGGCCACGAGGTTTTGAGGGGTTAAGTAACTTGGTGAAGGTGGCGAAGCCAAGCCCTGGCTGGTGTGACCAGTGTTGGTTAGAGTGTTGGCCTGCACACTGAAGGATCGCAGGTTCAATCTCTGGACTTGGTGGAGTAAGTGCAGGAGGCAACCAATTAATGTTTCTCTCTCTCACATTGATGTTTCCTTCTCTCTCTCTCTCTCTCTCTCTCTCTCTCTCTCTCTCTCTCTCTCTTCTCTCTCTCTCTCTCCCTTTTTCCCTTCCACTCTCTAAAAATCAATGGGAAAGAAATATCAACAACAACAAAACAACAACAACAAAAGGTCAGCAAAGCCAGGAAGACTCAGTGCCCGGGGATGTGCTCTTATCCTCCGGGCCGTATGGTTCTGGGAGCCAAAGATGCCGTGCTCAGAAGCGCCTGTCGTTTCTAGGATGAGGCGGGCCTGCAGCCCAGGCAGCTCCCCCCCTCCCCCCCCCCTCCTGCTCTCCCTCCATGCTGGCTGCAGTGCCCCCTTCCTTCGAGGGAGGAGTCAGGAAGGCCCCAACGAACCTCCTCCCTCTGGTTCTGCCGGGCTGAGAAGGCAGCTCCCCTCCTCCTCCCCTTAGCAGTAGCTTTGGAGGCAGCAGCAGAACTAACGTTGACGAAAACACTGCCACACAGCACAGGGAGAGTCCAGGTATGGGGTTCGCAGTGTGTGCCAACCACATAAATGAATGGAGGGAGGAGATGAAGGGACCTCTCTCTCCGGGCCTTGTCAGAGGAACCTGGTTGGAATCCAAGAAGAAAGCGAATGAGGTGTCCCAATAGCAGGAGCACCTGAGGTTACGTCCAGGCTCTGAAGCTCATGCCCTTCTTTTTATTTTATTTTATTTATTTTATATTTTATTGATATTTTACAGAGAGGAGAAAGGGAGAGAGAGAGAGTTAGAAATGTCGATGAGAAACATCGACCAGCTGCCTCTTGCACACCCCCTACCAGGGTTGTGCCCGCAACCAATGTACATGCCCTTGACCGGAATCGAACCTGGGACCCTTCAGTCCGCAGACTGATGCTCTATCCACTGAGCCAAACTGGTTTCGGCAAGCTCATGCCCTTCTTTACAGGAAAACCCCCCAGCGCTGACCCAGGCCTGCTGATTGCTGGGCTGCCCTTTCCTTGTACCTCCTCTTCCAGGAAGCCTATTAATCTTCTGGGTCAGAATTAAACCCTGTTTCTCTGACCCGCCCTGGCCGGTTTGGCTCAGTGGATGGAGCGTTGGCCTGTGGACTGAAGGGTCCCAGGTTCGTGGCCAAGGGCACACGCCCAGTGGGGGGGGGGGGGGGTAGGGCGTGCAGGAGGCAGCCGATCCATGGTTCTCTCTCATCATTGATGTTTCTGTCTCTCTCTCCCCCTCCCTTCCTCTCTGAAATCAATAAAAATATATCTAAAAAGTCAAACCGATCCTGATTCAAACCTCAACGTCGTTAGTCAAAGGCAGTGTGATTTTTTTTTTTGAAGTTATTTTTCTGAGCCTGCTTCCTATCAATGAAATAGGGACAACAGTCTCTACTTCGAAGGTTGTCAGGAGAAACTGAGCCACTGTGCGTAAGGGAGCCGTGCTGTGCCTGGCGCACAGTGGGCACTCAGTAACCAGCAGCGACCATTGTTCTTTGTGCCGGTTCTCATCCGTCCCGGTTCTCATCCCAGACTGCCTCATGTCGGGGTCGTCTGCTTGTGTGTCTGCTTCACGGTCTCCAGGCGTCCTCAAACTTTTTAAAGTGGGGGCCAGATCACGGTCCCTCAGAGAGCTGGAGGGCCGGACTCTATGAACTACTAATTCCTACTGTAACACCTCGGCTGCGCTCACTGCCCAAAAAACCTGGCGGGCCGGATCAGACTCCTCTGCGGGCCGCATGTGGCCCGCGGGCCGTAGTTTGAAGACGCCTGGGACTCTGGACTGTGAGCTCCGTGAGGGCAAAGATGTGCCTGGCCCAGCCCCTGGCAGCTCACAGCCCGGCCCCTTACCCCGTGAGCTGCCCCCTCCCCCCGCCCAGCCTGGGTCTTGGCTCACCCACGGTGGCGATGGGCCGGCGGTAGGGCAAAAGGCCAAAGCTGTACTGGAAGATGCCACGGCCGTGGAAGAGTGGGAGGGAAATGCCCATGACCTTCTGCAGCTGGTTCTGGGTCCAACGCAGCCAGGAGCCAGGAGAGTTCTCAACTTGGTCAAAGAGTTCGTTCTCCCCAAAGGAGAAGACTGGCACCAGAGGTACCCTGGAGAGAGAGAGAGACAGTGGAGAGAAGGCCCGTTGGAGGCCCCAAAGAAGGCCCGCCCGCTGGTCCCCTCGCTTCCCGCGGGACCAGGAACAGGAGCAGAGGACAGAGGTAGGAGGCCCAGGTGGTCTCCCGGACCTGCCAGAGCCTTGCTTTCTGACCTTGGGCAGGTCCTGAGGGCCCCTTCTCAGAGCCACCACCTCCCAGGGGCACCATGATGGATAGATTATCGATAGAATGCTTCAGAGTTCTCCCAGATAGAAATCATCTGACAGCTTTGTAGGAAAACCTCGCCTGCTCCAGCCAGCGTCGACTCCTCACGGCTGCTCCGAGGTCAGAGAACAGCCCTGCGCTACGCCCCAAACCCCAGGCTCCCACATCCCAGAGGTCTCGGACCTAGGGCCAGCCCTGGGCAGTATGTCCCTTCCCACCCAGGCCCTTGGACCCCAAAGACTCCATTCTGGGACCCTTTCTGGGTGTTTGGCAGCGAGACAGTACTTGTCTCAGCACAACAGCCTGTGCGTTTGTGAACGGACTGAGAAGTCTCCCTGCCCAAATAGAAACTCCATCAGCCTCTGCCGTCTTCCCACCAAAGTAAACCCTCGCTGATCTCCAGCGGAACCCAGAGCCCTCTCCCCAGGTACCCGTGCATCAGGGCGAGCTTGGCGAAGCCCTTGCGGTTCCTCAGCAGCAGCTTGTAGGCCCCGGGCCTGGCGTTCAGTGCCTCCTGGGCGCCCCCCACGATGATGCCCAGCAGGTTGCCCCCGCCCTTCCTGTTCAGGATGTGAGCCGCGCACTCCTTGTCCGATGTAACCAGCCCTGAGGGGAGAGGGAGGCGGTCAGTGATGGGGCGAAGGTAAGGTGACCAGACGTCCTGCTTTTGGCGGGACAGTCCGATTTTTAACAATTTGTCCCTCATCTCTCGGCGTTTTAAAACAGTCCTGATTTTTTTTTTAAAGAATCTTTTAAATCTTTTGGACTTTTTAAAAACGCAGGGGGACGTGGGACAAATTGTTAAATATCGGGACTGTCCCGCCAAAAGCAGGACGTCTGGTCACCTTAGGTCAGCGTTTTTCAACCGCTGTTCCGCGGCACACTAGTGTGCCGCGAGATGTTGCCTGGTGTGCCGTAGGTGCAGACAAGACAAGAATTTTATAATTTTTCACTATTTTGTTTACTTAATATTTCATAATAAAGTAATTATAAAATACTTTCTTTGTGTTTATTTGATTCCTATTCAAGAGAATTACTTTATATATAGTCAATATAGGCACAGAGTTAAATTTTTTAACATTTTCTAATGGTGGTGTGCCTCGTGATTTTTTTCATGAAACAAGTGTGCCTTTGCCCAAAAAAGGTTGAAAAACACTGCCTTAGGTGAAGGGGCAGGGACTGTGGGGGTGGATGTGGCCCAGCAAAGAGATCCCCAAGAGTGCCCCCAGAGGCCGGTCCCCCACCCCACCCCTCCCACTCCAGCTGGGCGTTCCTGGGGACTGGGCCTGAGCCTTCCCCCATGCCTAAGCCCCTCGCCACGCTCATTGCCCTACGGTGCTGTGGGAAGTGCTTCCTTGAGTCTAGCCTCCTTCCTCCACTGCTCATGCTCTCGGAGGAAGTACGGAACTCCTGGTCGCCCTCCCCCAGATTCCCTCCTCCCGTGCCTGCAGCCTCATGGACCTGGCTGCCCGGTGGGAAAGACTCACCCCCAGTCATGAGGTAGTCCCTGAAGAAGGGGAAGCGGAACCACAGGTTCAGCATCATCAGGTGGGGGCGGATGCCGGGGAAGAGCTTCGAGAAGCCCGTGGCCTCAGTGCACAAGTTGACGAAGATTCCGGCGGCCAGGACCCCGTGGGGGTGGAAGCCCGCGAGGTAGTTCCGGGAGGGGTCCAGCTCAGCGGTCTTGACCAGCTGTGGGGACATGATCCCATGAGCCAGAGCTGGACCTGCACCCCCACTCTGACGCTGACCTTGGGCCCATCACTCCCCATCTCTGAGACTCTGGTTCTCAGGAAGATGGAGATGCTGAATGCACCTGGGGCGTCTCTCCAGGTGCCGGCTGTGTCTCAGACTCGCACCTGAGGCTTTGGACAAACTGCTTCCCTCCCAGGCGTTTCGTTTGTAAAGTGGGGACGTTTGGCCCCGTCTCCCCTCCCTCCCAGGACTGCTGAGAAGTTCAGGTCTGAGGGTGCCCTGCCATGACCAAGACTGCTATGTGAAGGGATAGAATTAGAAGACCTCAGATGGCCACACGGGGGCGCCACCATGCCGGAATACCCCATTTTACAAAACTCAATTTAAGAAAATTGGCACTTAAGACCAGGAGAGGATGCCTGTTGCAGACCAGATGGCACACCCTCCCCTCGCACCTCACCCGTGGCTCTCTGCTCCCCTCACGCCAGACCCTCAGTGCCCTCTGTCCGCTCTGTCCCTGGACACGGGCGGCTCTGCCTGGGTCTGCTCGGGCCTGCAGCCTGCAGGGTGCAGCAGGGACCACCAGGCATTGTAGGTTGGGTGGGACAGGAGAGCCGTTTGTCCTTAGCAGTTTCCAGGTGAAGTGGGTGGCTAGAGAGGGGCTGGGACTGAGTTAACAAATGCTGCTCTGGCTGCTTACTGAACAGGCTGCGATGTGGCTGCGCTGCCAAGCTTTTCGCTGTGGGCAGTGACTGCGTGTAACTGCAGGGCCTACCCCAGTGTCCCGCCTCCAGGAGCCACAGCCACCAGAGTTAGAAGGCCCTGAAGCCACATGTACCCTTCCCCATTCACCCCCACCCTCCGCAGGAGGCTCCCTGATAGGACTGCCAGGGCCCTACAGTCTGCATCACCAGATTTGGGTGAGGAGGGCTCGGTTCACTCTGGCTCAGCTTTGCTGGGGTCAGAGTTCATCCTATCATTAAGCTGAAACGCTCAGCAGGAGATGCCCTGAGGGTTTTAATTGCTGCCTTTGAGGCCCCAGAGTCCATGCTGTCCACCCTCAGAGCAGCCTGCAGGGATCTGGGGGCAGCAACGGGGGCCTGGGCCTCTCTGCTTCATCCAGCTTCTCCTGCCCCTGACCTGGACTTGGTCTCTGCACCACACACACACACCCCGCCTCCCCGCCCTCACCCCCACCACAGTGTGCCCTCCGGGTAACCACTGACCCTTTGCAAAAAGGCTGCAGGGACTATTGCCTCCCAGACAAGGGCAGAGCTGTTCCCCGGAGGCAGTGGGCATCTATTGGATGCCGAAATAGACACACAACCAGAGGTTTCTCACCACCTCGATGGGAAAGGAGCTCCTCAGAAACCCCGTCGGTGGTGTTTCTTTAAAGACAGCCCTCGCTCCCTGCATGCAAGGCCTTTCTCATAAACCCTTTCTCAGCTAGAGGGGAGGTAATGTGTACAATTCCGTAAAGGTGATTTGGCGATATCTATCACCACTCCAAAAACGTAACCGACCTTTCCACCCACCCAGCAACCTCACTGCTGAGGGGTTTAGCTACAGGGTTTCTCATGCTTGTGCAATATGACGTCTGCACAAGGACACTGGAGCGTCACTGTTTTTTGTAACAGCAAAAACTCGACACCCACCCACATGTCCATCCACAGGGCCCCTTCAGACAGATCACGAGACGTTTGCATAATGGGCCCCTGTGCAGCCACAGACAAGTGTGGCACAGCTCCTCCCGCCCCTCTCGGGGAAGCCGGCCGCAGCTGGCTGTCAGAGGAAACAGCCATGGGCAGGATGATGCTTGCAGACTGCCACCGGTATGTGCTTGTATGTGGATGCACCCAACACTGGTTGTCACCGTCGCCTCTGGGCAAAGAACTAGGGGAGACGGGAGGTGTCCCTTTCGAATTTTGAACGAGAATGTATTACCTACTTTAAGTGGATAATGAATAAAATAAATCAACAAGTGACCGGATGATTATCCCCTTCATAATAAGGCTTTGTGTGTAGAGAGCTACCCTGTGAGTGTGAGGGCCTTGTCTAGGCAACTGTGCCAGATCTGCTCGTGCATCTAAAGGTGCGTGGCCAAGTGTGTGCACTGAGGGGCGTCGCTAGCCCACTGAGACGGGTCTGCTGACTTCCTGGGCGGGACCTCTTCCACCTGTCCTCCTGTGCCCCAGGAATACCCCTCCATCACAGTGAGGACCTTGAGATCAGAGGCCACCCAGTGAGGCATTGCTAAATCCCTGAAGCAGGCCTGAAAGAGAGGAGATGCTCGGTGGGTGACAGAAATGAAGAAAGGAAAGAAGGAGACTGTGGACGGGTGAGGCTGATCAGCCAACCCCTGCCCGACCCCGTTCTGATGTGCGCCTGGGTTCCACTGAGCGGGAGTCCTGAGATCCAGGTCCTGGCCCCGGCCCATGACATGACCCTGGCCCCGCCTCAGTTTCCCCTCTGACTTCCGCAGGACAGTGATGATGTCTCTCTGGCAAAGTTGCTACTTGGTTCAGGTGTGCTAAGCACAGAGAGGGAAGGTGTGTGAGGGGCTGTGTCCTCTGCTCGCTCCCGCAGGTCTCTGAGGGGCAGGGAGGGTGGCCAGGAAGAGAAGGCTGGCTGGGGAAGGCCCTCTGTGGGCACATGTGCTCCCAGCCTGGGCTTGCTGCTAGGCAGTGACAGCTGGGGAAGGGAATGGCCAGGTTGCTAGGCTCTGTGGTCACTTTTCTTTACTTTTGTAGTTCGTATACCATCACATTTACCTTTTGGACGTGTGTGACTCAGTGATTTTAATATACTTAAAGGTGTGTAACCATCACCACTTCTAATTCTAGAGCATTTTCAGCACCCCAGGAAGACACCCATAGCGGTCATTCTCCTTCCCCCAGCCCCGGGCAGCCACTGCGGTCTGTCTCTGTGGAGTTGCCGCTTCTGGAAATTTCATATAAATGGAATCATACAACATGTGGCCTTTTATGGCCGTCTTCTTGTACGTCACAGAATGTGTTCAAGGTTCATCGATGTGGAAGCCTGTCTCAGCACTTCATTCCTTTCTGTGACTGAATACTACGCCATTGTGTGGATAGACCACATTTTCTTTGTCTGTTCAATGGCCATTGGCCATTTCCGATAATGTGGCCACGAACACTTGGGTACAAGTCTCGGTGCAAACATGCTTTCAGTTCTCCCAGGGGTGTTCCTACTTTGAATCCCAAGGCCTTTGCCTACTATACCCTGCACAGGCTCCCGGGAGAGGCAACTGGACCTAGGACGGGAGGGAGGACAGCAAGGGACTCTATCATGTCTGCCCAGACCCATCTTTCTCTCTCTCTCTCTCTCTCTTTTTTCTAATTAAAATATTTTATTGATTTCAAAGAGGAAAGGAGAAGGAAAGAGAGATAAAAACATCAATGATGAGAGAGACTCATTGGTTGGCTGCCTCTGGGGATCAAACCTGAAATCCAGGCACATGTCCTGACCATGGATGGAACCATGACCTCCTGGTTCCCAGGTCAACGCTCAATCACTGAGCCATGCCGGCCAGGCTATTTTGTTGTTGTTGTTGTTTGTTTGTTTGTTTTTCTTTAACATTTTAAGAGCCCAGATAAAAAGACAACTGTGGCCAGGCCTTAGATCGTTAGGAGGAGAGAAGGGCCAGGTCTGGAGGAGTCTAGGAGACACCCCACTGGCTCTAGAGCAGCAGTTCTCAACCAGGGACAGTTTGCCCAGCCCCTCTCCCCCCAGAGGACCATTTAGTAATGTTTACAGACATTATTTTGCTGTCACAACTGGTAGAGGGGTGTGTTATTGGCATCTTAGTGGGTAGGAGCCCAGGGTGAAGTCAATCAGAAACCCTCCCTGCCCCACATAACACACACAGCAGAGACTCATTCAGCCCCAAATGCCAATGGTGCTGAGAAAGCCGCCTTGAGAGCTACCTGGCTGGGGTAGGATCGGCTAAGAGCCACCTCAGCATCATTTTCTGCCATGCCTGCAATGGCAGCGGCTCTAGGTGCCAAGAGCCTGATGCTACCCTTTGTGGGCCCTTGGATGACATCCTCCTGGAAAATTTCCAGCGGAAGAGTCCCGGTTCTGTCAGATGGTCTTCGGGGGCCTCTGTTACCTTGTCCCTGCAAAACGCTTTAGCCTCATCCCCAGGTGACCTTCTACTTCATTCACACTCAACAGTAGGCTTGCTGCTCAGAAGCCATAGGTGGCCTGGCGAGCTCGGGCTTTGAAAGAGACAGAAATATAATGTGGGGGAACCAGCTATAATTGTAAGGAATATTAATGATGCTCCGTTAGTCCTGATTGTTCTATTCTGATTAAAGAAGGCGCACCGTACCCTGGCTGACAGCTGCACTCAGGAGCTGGGAGCTCACCCGGAAAGGAAGTCCATCCTCCCCATTTGGAGTGGCCTGTTTTCGGGGGAAGATTCCTGTTGCAGAAACCAGAATCACCAGCCCTTATCCCCAGACCGTTGCATGTCACTAGCCTTAGAGCAGTGGTTCTCAACCTTCCTGATGCCGCAACCCTTTCCTACAGCTCCTCATGCTGTGGTGACCCACAACCATAACATTATTTCCGTTGCTACTTCATAACTGTAATGTTGCTACTGTTAATGAATTGTAATGTAAATATCTGTGTTTTCCGGTGGTCTTAGGCTCTACAGCAGCGGCTCTCAACCTGTGGGTCGCCTAAGACCATCGGAAAACACAGATATTTATTTACATTACGATTCATTAACAGTAGCAACAAAAATAATTGTATGGTTGGGGGGTCACCACGACACGAGGAACTGTATGAAAGGGCCGCGGCCTTAGGAAGGTTAGGAGATCCTCAGCCCTTCCTGTGCCTGTAAACTGCCCATTTGCCCTCTTAGCCCACTTCCCCATGTAATCTTTGTGCTTCTACCCAATATAAGCAGCTGGTTTATGAGGGGGGGAAGGGAAGGAGGAGCAGATTTCTGAGGATGACCTGCTGCTCTCCCATGCTGCCGGGGGTATTGGAATAAATGCTCAACTATGATTCAACCCTGTGTCTGCTTAATGGCTCACAGACCCATTGGTTGTCTGGTTACAGATTCAGCGCACAGCGAGCGGGGAGACCGCAGAGTGAGACTCCACAAAGCTCCCCCCCACCCCCGCCCCGAGGCCCGGACCTGCTTTAGGTTTCTTTGGCTTGGACGTTGCTGTCCGCATACACTCCCAAGCTCCAGGCCGCACTTTCCCATAGAAACTCTGACCTTCCTGGAACAGGAGAGCAAGCCCTGGCCTGGGAGGAGGAGAGGGAGGGAAGGGAATGCAGAATGTCAAGCTCAGAAATCCTGAGTGGGGATAAGGGAGTCTGCCCAGGACATGCCCATGGCTCCTTTTAGGACCCAGCAAGCCCTGCTTGCCTTTGATGAAGATATCCTGGAAGGACACACTGCAGAGGAAGGGGATATAGGGGGTGAGGAAGATCACCCCCACCTGGGCCCCTCAGGTTAGCTCAGCACTGCCCACTCACTCTGCCTTTCAACATGAGCATGGAAGTCTCTGCTGGCCAACTTCCTGCCTTCTGCCCAGCCCCTGCCCTGCTGCCCTGCCCTGCCCTGCCCTACCCTGCCCTGCCCACCCTTGTCCTTTGCCCAGGAGGACCTTCTTATTGGGGATTAGGAGCTCCTGTACCCCAGCTGTTGTCCAGCCTTTGCTAGTTCTTCTTGGGCCTCAGGACTCTTGGGAGCAATGCAGGAGTGCTGGCAGTCTAACCTCAGGGAGGCTGTTTCCTCCCTCCTTCCCCTTTCTCAGCTGGAGAACAGGCTCCTGGAGGGACAGGAAGAGGTGGGGATCTGGATGGAGGCGGAGAAGCCAAGCATTGCGAAGGTCAAAGCAGAGTGGCTCTGGGCTATCAGACTTGCAGCCATGCCCAAGCCTCCCAGACTCCCCACTGACTCGGCAAAATAATCCCAACCAGTAGTTTACTGAGAACCTACAAGGCACTGTATCCCCTGTCTCATTGAACCCCAGAATGCAGCCAAGAATGTAGGTGGCATCATCTCCACATTACCAGTGTGGGAACTGAGGCTCAGAGAGACTGTAACTTTCCCTACGGTCACCCAGTTGGTGGGTGGTGGAACTGGTATTAGAACCTAGTCCATCTAGCTCCAGAGACCACATTCTACACCTTTTTTTGTTCTTTACTGTTTCCAGAGAAGAGCCAACTGTCCCTGCCTGGCACTTCTCTGTGTTCCCTTGTCTTCCCGATCCTCTCATCTGGGCCATACCACAGTCCCGCCCAGCGGCTTACATCCAGGGTTTTGTCGGTCTGGGTTTCAGTAAAGAAGCTGAAGGGTCTGTGAATCCAGAGATGTGCTTCACCCAGGACTAATCTTTGGGCCCAGGGTCAACTGTTCAGGAAGCTCATGAGATGCCTTGAGTCAGAGTCAGAGATTCAAGGCACTCAGAGCAGGAGAGATCAGTCTGCTTACTGGATACATGGGGAAACTGAGGTTCAGAATGGGGCAAGGCCCAACCCAAGGACCCCATAGCATCCCAGAGCTAGGAGCAGGAGAGAACCTGTTCAGGGCTCACTCCCCTTCTCCTATACCCATAGTTAGTGCACAGACTTTAAAACCAGTGAAGACAAAACAAAACAAAAACTTGTTGTGTGGCCTCGGTCATACCTTTGTCCCTCTGGGTGTCAGTGTCTCATGTGATGACATGAGGAGTAGGTGGTCGCTTAGGACCCTGAGTTTATTATCTCCCTCCACCCAACCCTGGGCTGCAGAGGGGTTCACACCTACAAGACACATATGTGGGCCCCATGATAGGCCCCACAGAGCTCTTTCAAATCCTGTGCATTCATCAGTCCTCAATTGGCTGCACACGCCCAGAGGTGTGGAACCATGGCTGGACTCTTCCCCATGGTGCACAGTGGTGGTAGCTCTTCCCACTGCACACAGGGCCCCACCTTCCCCGAGGAGGAGTGGGACCCGTTCGCCCTGCCAGCCCTAATACTCACCGAGACGGGGAAATAGTCCTTCATGTACCTCCACACGACGGAGCGTCTCAGGAACTCGACGCGCCTGCCGCCCTGCCATGGCTTCTCTCGGTCCAGGTACCACCACGTTGCATACAGGACACTGAGGAACCAGAATCTGGTGAACAGGAGGCCTATGAAGACTATAACGCAGGTCTGAGCTGGGGAGGGAAACACGTGAGAGGTCTGAGAGGAAGGAAACACCCAAGACCAGCCGCCCTAGCCCGTCCAGCCCACAGCTCCAGGAGGAAGAGAGGGAGAGAGACAGAAACATTCAATGATGAGAGAGGATCATTGATCAGCTGTCTCCTGCACACCCCCCACTGGGGATCGAGCCCACAGCCCTTCAGCCCACAGGCTGACGCTCTATCCACTGAGCCCAACCAGCTAGGAGGAAGGTCGCAAGGCAAGAAAAACGAATGAGCAACTGGAGAGCCTTATGCTTAGCAAAATAAGCCAGTCAGAGAAAGACAAGAATCACAAGATCTCACTCAAAATAAATGGTATCCAAAGACATGGAGCATGCCTTCCTGGGGCAGGGTGTGAGTTACAGAGGAAAGGAAATAGACAGTAAAGAAGTTACCCATTGAGGGAGTATGTGACTCTGGACCTGAGTCCTCGGAGCCAGGTCCTAGTTGGCTTCTCCAGCCACTTTTCACCCCTCCCGAAAACGCCTCCGCTAACTCCACAGCGAACCAGCTGTTCATTAAATGTGCAGTGTTTCCCCCGCCCCGCTCCCCCCCTTCGCACCCCCCCCCCCTTACTCTCCTGCCAGCCTTTAAATCCTGCCCTCTGGACCCGATCTCCTAAGTATCTCTCGAAAGAGGCCACTCTTTCCACCCACTGCTGGCCTCCTTAGACCAGGGTTGGCAATCTTTTTCTTAAAGAGCCTGATTGTAAGTATTTTGGACTTTTCAGCTCAAGAGGCAAACTAGAGGATATTACATAGTCATACAGGCATTAAAAATGCTATTATTCATTCTTCCTGATGCAGTTTTGGAAGATTGCATTTTTCTAGGAATTTGTCCATTTCATCCACATTGTCCAGCTTGTTGGCATATAGTTGTTCATAGTATTTTCTCACATACCTTTGTATTTTGGTGGTGTTCAGTTGTTACTTCACCACTTTTGTTTCGGATTTTATTTATTTGGGTCCTCTATTTTTGTTTCTTGATGAGTCTGGCCAGGGGTTCATAATCTTATTTATCTATTCAAACAACCAGCTCTTGGTTTCATTGATTTTTTAAAAAATTTTTTAGTCTCTATATCATTTATCTCTGTTCTAATCTTTATTATTTCCTTCATTCCACTTACTCTAAGCTTTTCTTGTTGTTGTCTTTCTAATTCTTTAAGTTGTAGGGTTAAATAGTTTATTATTAATTTTTCTTGTTTTTTTTAGGTAGGCCTGTAGTGCTATGAACTTCCCTCTCAGAACTGTTTTTGCTATATCCCAGAGATTTTGGGTTGTTGTGTGTTTATTTCCATTTGTTTCCAGGAAGTTTTTTATTTCTTTCTTAATCTCATTGATAACCCATTCATCCTATATAATAGAAGGGTAATATGCAAATTGACCCTAACAGCAGAACAACCAGAATGACTACTGGACCAGTCACTATGAGGCACACTGACCACCTCTCAGTCCCTTCCCCGAGCTGTCAGGCATCGATCACTCCATGACAAAAGGGGAACTGGGGGTGGGTGGCAGTGGGGGGTTGGCGGGGCAGGGCCGACTTTGAGCAGCTGGGGGAGATGGCCCTGATCGCAGGCCAGGCCTCTAGCTGTTTAATAACATGCTGTTTAGCCTACATGTGTTTGAATGTTTTTGAGTGTTTTTACCGTAGTTGATTTCAGGAAGAATCAGAAAATCTAAACAGGACAATAACCACTGAGGAAATGGAAGCAGTAATAAAAACACTCCCAGCAAACATAAGACCTGGTCCAAATGGCTTCACAGGGGAGTTTTACCAAACATTCAAAGAAGAACTAATACCTATACTTCTCAAACTATTTTTAAAAATTCAAGAGGAAGGAATACTTCCAAGCTCTTTTATATGAGGCCAGCATTATCCTAATTTCAAAACCAGATAAAGACACTACAAAGAAAGAGAATTACAGGCCAGTATCCCTAATGAACATAGATGCTAAAATCTTCAACAAAATATTAGCAAATCACATCCAGCAATATATTGAAAAGATCATACACCATGACCAAGTGGGATTCATTCCAGGGATGCAAGACTGTACAATATTCACAAATCAATAAACATGATACATCATATAAACAAATTGAAAGACAAAAATCACATGATCATATTAATAGATGCAGAAAAAGCATTTGACAAATTCTAACACCCATTTTTTAATAAAAACTCTCAGCAAAGTGGGAATAGAAGGAGCATATCTCAATATAATAAAGGACATATATGACAAACCTACAGTGAACATCATACTAAATGGGCAAAAACTAAAACCATTTCCCTTAAGAATAGGAACAAGACAGGGATGCTGGCTGTAATTGTAGCATTGGAAGTCCTAGCCAAAGCAAGCATCCAAATTGGAAAGGAAGAAGTAAAACACTAATTATTTGCAGATGACTTGATATTGTACATAGAAAATCCTAAAAATTCCACCAAAAAAACTACTAGATTTAATAAATGAACTGACAATGTAGCAGGATACAAAAATCAACATCCAGAAATTGATGTGTTTTTTTTATACACCAATAATGAATTCTCAAAAAGAGAAACTAAACAAATAACCCCACTTACCATTGCTACAAAAAAAATTAAGATACTTAGGCCTGGTCAGCGTGGCTCAGTGGTTAAACATTGACCTATGAACCAGGAAGTCACTGTTCAATTTCCGATCAGGGTACATGTCCAATTTGTAGGCTTAATCCCAGTAGGGAGCGTGCAGGAGGCAGTGGATTGATGATTCTCTCTCATCGTCGATCTCTCTCTCTCTCTCTCTCTCTCTCTCTCTCTCTCTCTCTCTATATATATATATATATATATATATATATATATATATATATATATATATATGTATATCCTGCCAGAAGCAAAATCCAGCATGTCAGCAGGGCTGAATCATCTGGAGATGGCTGAGGGCATTTCCCCAAACCTAAAAAGGATGCATAAATGATTGCTTGCTGCCAGACAGCTGACATTTCAATCTACATGTTATTGCCTCCTCCTGGCCAACACCTGTAGTTCCTCCAATCTGACAATGGATTCTGTATTCCAAACCTTACCCTTTGATATGTACATCTACCTTGCTTTAGGACAATTTGTATTAATAAAAAGCAAGGGGTCCAGAGAGACAGGAGAACTTGGTTTCTTTCTTTCTTTCTTTCTTTTTTTAAAAATATATTTTATTGATTTTCTTATAGAGAGGAAGGGAGAGAGATAGAGAGCTAGAAACATCGATGAGAGAGAAACATCGACCAGCTGCCTCTTGCACACACCCTACTGGGGATGTGCCTGCAACCAATGTACATGCCCTTGGCCGGAATCGAACCTGGGACCCTTCAGTCCGCAGACCGACGCTCTACTGCTGAGCCAAACTGGTTTCGGCAAGAACTTGGTTTCTTCAGTCAAGCTCCTCTGGCTCCCAAATGCCTTCTAAAATTATGTTTCATCTCTGTACTCTTGATTAGTTCACACACAGCTGCTTTTTCAGATTCCTGAACCCCTTCTAGATGCCAAGAAATGCACACCGGCATTACTTTTCCTCTCTAAAATCAATAAAAAATTATTTAAAAAAAATTTTTAAGATACTTAGGAATAAACTTAACCAAGGAGGTAAAAGACTTGTACTCATAAAACTATAAGATATTGAAAAAATAGATAGAGGATAGATAGAGGAAGACATAAACAAGTGGAAGAATATACTGTGTCATGAATTGGTAAAATTAACATCATTAAAATGTGTATACTACCCAAAGCAACCCAAAGATTTAGTGCAATCCCTACTACAATACTAATAGCATATTTTCACAGATCTAAAACAAATACTCCAAAAATTTATATAGAACAAAAAAAGACCCCAAATAGCTGCAGCAATCTTGAGAAAGAAGAACAAAGTTGGAGGGATTATAATACCAGACATCAAGTTATACTATAAAGCCACTGTAATCAAAACTGCCTGGTACTGAGACAAGAACAGGCATACAGATCAATGGAACAAAACAGAGACCCCAGAAATCAACCTAAGCCATTACACTCAACTAATATTTGACAAAAGAGGCAAGAGTATATATACAATGGAATCAAGACAGTCTCTTCAGCTGGGAAAATTGAACAGATGCATGCCAAAAAAATGAAACTAGACCACCATACACAAGAATAAACTCAAAATGGATAAAAGACTTAAATGTAAGTTGGGAAACCATAAAAATTTTAGAAGAAACTAAAGGTAGCAAAATTTCAGACATCTCCCATTGGCAAAGGAAATAAAGGAGAAAATAAACAGATGAGACTATATAAAAATAAAAGCTTTTGCACAGTAAAAGAAACCATCAACAAAACGAAAAGGGAGCTCACTGTATGGGAGAACATATTTGGCAATGATACATCTGACAAAGGGTTAATATCCAAAATATATAATGAACTCATGCAACTTAAAAGGAAGACAAACATATAATTAAAAAAATGGGCAAAGGGCCTAAATAGACATTTCTCTAAGCAGACATACAGATGGCCAAGATACATATGAAAAAACGCTCAAAGTAGTTCACTGATCATCAGAGAGATGCAAAAACACCAATCAGAAAGAAGGTATGCACCTCGATGTTCATAGCAGCACAATTCTATATAGTAAAACCCTAATATGCAAATTGACCAATCGCTATGATGTGCTTTGACCACCAGGGGGCAGACTCTCAATGCAGGAGCTGCCCCCTGGTGGTCAGCACACGCCCACAGGGGGAGCGCTGTTCAGCCAGAAGTCAGTTCACGACTGGCGAGCACAGTGGTGGCAGGAGCCTCTCCTGCCTCAGTTGCAGGAGGGCGGTAAGGAGTGAGTGGTCCCAGACTGTGAGATGGATGTCTAACTAACTGCCAGATTAGGCCCGCTCCCAGTGGCAGTTGGCCATCCCTCGAGGGGTCCCAGACTGTGAGAGGATGCAGGCTGGGCTGAGGGACACCCCTCCCCTCCCCCAGTGCATGAAATTTCATGCACTGGGCCTCTAGTTTATAATATAAGATCTGGAAACAACCCAAGTGCCCATGAGTAGATGAGTGGATAAAAAAATTGTGTTAACATTTATGCAGCAGTAAATGGAATAATATGCAGCAGTAAAAAGAAGGATCTCTTACCCTTTGAAATAGCATAAAGGGTCCTGGAGAGTATCACGCTAAGTGAAATAAGCCAGTGAGAGAAAGACAAGTACCACATGATCTCACTCATATGTAGAATCTAACAAACAAAATAAACTGATGAACAAAATAGATCCAGAGACATAGAAGCATAGACTACACTGGGGAATCTGGGGGAGGGGTGTGTGTGTGTGCCATGATCAACCGAAGAACTTGTATGCATATATGGCTAACCCATGGGCACAGACAATAGGGCAGTGAAGGCCTGGGGCAGGGAGCAGGGGTGAGCTAGAAGGGGTCAATGGGGATAAAAGAGGGACATGTAATACTTCCAAGAATAAAGATTTAAAAAATAAAATAACGTGCAATCATTTAAAAATGCAAAAGCCATCCTTAACCTCATGGACTGTGCAAATACAATCACTTGGAGGGGGAGCAGGGTGGAGGGGGTCAAGGTGGGGGGAATGCGTTGATTAATGAATTAAAATTGGAATCAAAGTTTGTGGAAGAAACAAACAACACCAACAAAAATAATCGGTGGGCTGGATTTGGCCTGTGGGTAAGCCGTGATCTAGATGGTGGCCGCTCCTGCCGTTGATCTGGTTCCCCACACCCCATACACTGTAGATAACTCTGCAGCAGGCAGCCACCGGGCCCTTTAACACGCAGATTAGACCCTGTCACTCTCCTTTGCCCCCAGGATAAGGGATAAGGAAAGGTACAGCCTCCTACTCCTGGCACCTGGGGGCCCAGATCCCTTTTCTCAGCTGTCCCTTCTCTCGTCCTCCAGGCTCAGGGTGACTGAGAATTCCCTGCGGCTCCCGACATTCTCAGGCTCCCGGGCTACCTGTGGAGCCGGGGGTGGGCACCGCCAGCCAGACACACTTGTGCTCACAAAGCTCACGCAAGGCAAGCCGCGCGTACGAGGTTCCTTATCTCGGGCGATCCCTCGGCTGCACCTGCCTGCCTCTGGGCCCCAATGCCCTTTGTCCGGGAGCCAGCGCTTACAGTCTGCCCTGGGCACCGAACCGACCTCCCTGCCCATGCTTTTCCCACAGCCTCCGAGCCCACACCTCCTCCCACACCCTCTGCCCTCTCTCTGCTCCCCTCTTGCCGTGTCAGGAGGAGGCGCTCGGGACCCACAACCTTTGACACTGAAGTTATTTAAGGACTCGACAACCTTTGGCATCGAAGGCGCTCCGTGTCTTGGCTCCCCTGTGTCGTGGGGATCACCGAGGGTATATACAATGTTTAACGACCGTTCGGATGGGAGACACGGCCCAGGAAAGTGAAGTAGCCTGCCCAAAGGCACGGGTGATGCGAGGGGCAGTACCTATGTGCCTGCTTTGCTGGCGGTGAATCCCCGGCAGAATTGTGAGGTTCTGAGAACACACCTGGTGGGAGTGGCAGCGTGTGTGTGTGTGTGTGTGTGTGTGTGTGTGTGTGTGATGGCTGTTGACCAACCTATGCAGAGTCCGTCCGTATTTTAACCCCAGGACAGTGGTGGGTGTGACTGGACTGAGCGCCGTCCTGGGGGTGGCAGCAGATGCAATGAGGAATCCACATCCTCCCTGTCACCTCTCTTCCCAGCCCTCCGTCCTGGGCCCTCCTCGGAAATGTTCCCTTCGGCAGAGCTGACATTTGGGCAGCTGTGGCCTCCCCGCCGTAACAGATGTGTTCGCCGTGGGGGGTGGGGGAGGGAACGGACTCTCCTGTGTGAGTCCAGCCCAGGGCCCAGCCAGGCCTGTGCCGGGCAGAGTCAACGCGCCTCTTCATTTCATCCCACAAGAGCCCGGTAAGACCCGCTAGTCCTCCAGGTAGCAGAGGACTTGGTTATTCCCCGTTATGCAGGTGAATGAAATAGAGGCCTGGAGAGGTCAGTCACGGGTCCACCAAGGTCACCCAGCTGGTCAGTTACCCGCCTTTACCTGGTAACACACTCTCCCTCCAGTCCACGTTCATCCTGCACATTCCCTCCCTGTTTGATTGTTTTCCCTGTTCCCTTCCCCCCACCCTGCTTACGCCCCCTCCCATCCCCTTCTCCCTCCGCCTCCAGCTCTCTCTCGGAAAGGAAGGAAGAAAACCCATCCCCTCTGAGCAGCCTGAGGGGCCCTTTCCCAGAACTGCCTGGAATCTTCCCCACACCTCCGGCAGGCAGCCTGAGGAGGCAGGTGCTCGGTCCTCACGCTGAGGCGGAATCCACAGCCCTGGGAAGTGAAGTAACCTGTCCAAAGGCACAGGTGATGGTTTCTGCCTCACCCGGTGCCCACAACCGACCCACCCTACCCTCCAAGGCCTCCAGCAGGGACTCAGCACAGCCAAGTCCCCCACCCCCCCGCCCGCCCGCCCCCCCCCCCTTAGGGACCATGTCTTGCCACCATCAGTGCCCACCGGGTCTCCCCCGTCCCCAGGGCCAGCCTGCCTTACCCAAGGCCAAGAAGCTGAAGACCCACTGCAGGACGGAGAGGGTCTGCAGCCTGCGCTCCCAGGGCACGGACCAGGGCGCAAACTCCACCATGCTGGCTCCTCGGCGGGCTCCGGAGGCTCCGAGTACCACCGTGCTCCAGGGCACCCAGAGGGTTTTGCTCCTGGCAGAGGCTGTAGAAGCGTCCGTTCGTGGGGGAGGAGGCTGCCACGCCCAGCCGGGCCCACAGGCCTGCCTGCCCCCGCCCGCCCGGCAGGAGCCTGTTTCCTAGAAGAAACCTTTGAGTCCTGGTGCCCAGAGCTCAGCCAGCGGGAGGAGAGAGAGGAGGAAGTGTGTGGCCTTTACCCAGGACAGCTGTCTCCTCAGGCAACACCTTATCTACGGGATCGCCTTTGGCTGGTGGCTTGCATCTTGCCCTTGGCTTATCTATACTAATAAAAGCGTCACATGCAAATCGACCGAGGGGAAGGGAGAGGAGAAAGGCTTGGACGTGCTCCCAGGAGGGAGAGAGAGCGTGGGTGGGAGCCTGTGCGCTTCTTCTTCCCAAGGGCTTTGAAGGGAGGAGGAAGGAAGGGAGGAGGGGGAGAGGAGAGACCAGTGGAGAAGGAGAAAACCAGCCCGCACCAGCTTCCTCTGGTGGCGCTCCCTCTGGTGGTCGTTCTGAGACACTGTGGGCAGGATCAACTGCTTTCCAGGGCAGGGTAGGCCAGGGCTTGGGGAGAAGCCCAGGTAACAACAGGCAGAGCTGAGAGGGGGCTTACAGAGATAGCTGAAGGATGTACTTCTACTGGCTCTGGTGGAGAAGAGCTCCTTTTCCTCTGGCCTGGTCAGGATGGAGAATCCTGAGCCTGGGGCTTGGACCAGACAGGCGTTCCATGCTCTGGTGACGATGTGCTCGATGGGCGCGTACCATAGGCTGAATAACAGCCTCCAAAGATGACCACATCCTAGCGTCCAGAGCCTGCGAATGCTGCCTTCTACAGCAACAGGGACTTCGCAGATGTGATTAAATTAAGGAGTTTTGAGAGTATCCTGGAATTTTGATGTTGCCTTTCCCCCTCGATTATATAATAGTTTGGAGCCAATATATTTCCCAGGAAATAGACGTGTGCTCTGTCTGACCTGGATGGGTGCCCTCATCTGTGTCTTTTCACCTGGGCCCACCTTATGAAGCCACGTTGTCACTTTACCTCCTGGACAGTTTCTTTCGAACATCCCACAAGCCCTTTGAGCCTACGTAATACCACACACTGACCTAATGCCACACACTGGCTCCTCCTGCGTTCCCTAGCTGCCATTGGCAACCCCCTCCCTTCCCCTTCCCCCCCTCCCAATTCAGCACTCTGGGGTCATCCGGACTCTTCTCTCTCTGTCACTTTCCACAGTCCGATATTTGGAAAGTCCGGCCATTTCTTGGGCACCTCTCTCAACTCCCATCCCCTTTTCTCTGTCCCCGCTGCCTTTACTGCAGGCCAGACCCCTGTCCCCTCTTTCCTGGGCCCCGTTACATTCTCCTCCCAGTTTTGCTGTCTCCAGGCTGGCCACCACCAGCCCCTTCCCCACACAGCAGCAGCCAGAGGGAGTTGTTAAAACCCATATCAGAACATGTATTAAGGTGACCAGACGTCCCGCCTTTGGCGGGACAGTCCCGATTTCTAACAATTAGGATTCTTAAAAAAATAAAAAAATAAAAAAAATCGGGGCTTTCTTAAAATGCCGCGAGACACGGGACAAATTGATAAAAATCGGGACTGTCCCACCAAAAGCGGGATGTCTGGTCACCTTAATACACCCTGCTCTCCTCGCTCGGGCAGAGCCAGTGAACCAGGGTTGTTTTGGTTTCCAGGAGCCAGTGGCGGCCTTGCCCTTGCCCTTCCCCAGGATTTCTTAAGGGGCCACGCCTGCTGATGGCAGGCGGCCTCCCGCCACGTCCCTGCCTACGGGATTGTGATGCCCAGTTCCAGCCCAAAGCCAGCTGCAGTCCTTCCTCTGTGGCCTCCGCTGTGACCGGAAGGACCCTGCACTGCGAGGCCAGCAGAGTCCTTCAAAGGCCTGTGCAGCCTGAGACCCACCTCGGTGCTGACAAGCGCAGGCAGCCGCTCCCGCCATCAAACACCATTGACAGCGACAACAGTCTGGGAAAGGACTTCTATAATTCCGAGTTTGGGAAAGAGTCAGTTATCCCCTTTGTTTTATAACTTGAACAATATCTATTACAGCTAGCTAAGAATTGCTTTGGGTTGCCCATGACTGATGGACATAATGTTGCATTTGTAGATATTTAAACACATATTAATATTTTAAAAGAATTTTTAGAAGATTTTTAAAATGTGTTTTTATTGATTTCAGAGAGGAAGGGAGTGGAAGATAGAGATAGAAACATCAATGATGAGAGAGAACTGATGAGAGAGAATCATTGATTGGCTGCCTCCTGCACGCCCCCTACTGGAGATGGAAACAAACCTGGGTATGTGCCCTTGACCGGAATAGAACCTGGGAGCCTTTAGTCTGCAGGCTAATGCTCTATCCACTGAGCCAAGCTGCCTAGGGCAATGGTGGGCAAACTGCAGCTCGCGAGCCATATGCGGCTCTTTAGCTCCTTGAGTGTGGCTCTTCCACAAAATACCACGAGCAGGTGCACACAGTGCTATTGAAACTTCATGGCCCATGCGCAGAAGTCGGTTTTCGGCCTGGGCGAGTCTATTTTGAAGAAGTGGCGTTAGAACACTCAAGGGGCCAAAGAGCCTCATGTGGCTCTCGAGCCACAGTTTGCAGACCACTGGACTAGGGCTACACACATATTATGGTAATTTTGATGGGTTCTTTGTTGTTGTTGTTGTTTGTTTTTTCTGATCACATTTTGGAGAGAATATATTTTCCTTCTCAGGGCTTAAATATTTGCCTACGTGCTTGAAAAGCTTATGGCCCCTGAGTCATGAGGCCCTGGGATTATAAAAAGGTAATCTCTGGGTCTCTGTGAAGAGGCCTGGCCCACCAGACAGTTTAGAGCTGAGCTCACACCAGAGCTGGGTGGCTGGGGTGGGAGGTTCCCAGCTCCTCACACAGGGGCCTCAGCGTCACCCCTGATGTGCCATAGAGGGCCTGGGGGTGAGAAGAGGGGGAAAGAGGCTTTGGGTGGGGAGGAAATTCAGAGCACCTCCTTGTCTCACCTTGTGCCCTCCTGCTGTTCTCTTGCCCACCCTGCCTCCACCCCACGTGTTGCTGGCTCAGATGTAGCTCTCCTAAGTGTGGCTCCTCCGAGAACGTAAGGCCCTGAGTTGAATAAAGGAAGAGGGATCAGAGCTGTTGGCTCTCCCACACCTCAGTCTCATTCTCAATATTCCATTTTCCCAGCATCCGACCACACAGGGCTGTCTGTATAGTAGAGAGTATAGAGACTGGGGGCTTATAAAGGCCTGACTCATGCTAGCTCCGCCTTGAATTAATTCCTTGGTTTGGAGCAAGCCACTTCCTCTCTCTGAGCCCTGGTTTCCTCGTCTGCCTAATCATTAGGCCCTAATAAATTCAACTCATGGACTACTGTCAGGATCAATATGAAGGCACTAGCATATGTTTGGCAGTCCGTAGGCACTTGGCAAAGGATAGTTTCCCTCCCTCAAGCCATTTCTGAACCCACAATCTCACCAAGTTTGGTGCACCCTGTTTTGGTTTCCTCCTCTTTTTAGGTAAGTCCTTGCCCCCAGGTCCCCAGGATGACAATCCTGTGTGAGAAAGGGAATGAGAAGTCCATTTGCATCATACCTGATATGCGCCATTGCAGGGCTGGGTGTTTTAAGCAGGTGACATTATCACTATTTAAATCCGGCCAGAGAGAAATATTTTTCTTATTTCAACAGGTCCTGCTCCCCTTTTCTCACCCTCAGTATCCCCAGTGCTCTGCTACTCTGCAGAGAGGCAGAAGGCAAAATGTGGATCCTCTTGACCAAATTTCAAGCCACGCCCTCCCTCCCCTTTAGTCATCAAGAGAAAATTGATTCTGACTAAAAACTATTTCCCCTGACCATTTCACTTGACTCTACTGTTTAAGCCCAGAAGGAAGGCATATCGCTTAAAATAGAAAAAAAAACAATGTAATCACTTAATTTCAGTGCTCATCATCAAAGATTCTGAGTCAGCAAACCAGTATGATGGATTGTGGCCAATGAATTTTCCTTTCAGAAAGTGGATGGCTGGGGTCCAGGTTTCAACAAAACTGCAGTCACCTTGCGAAAGAAGGCGGCACAACTTGGCACACTTTTCTGCTCTCCACCATAATGCCATTCTCATATCCAGAGCAATGCCTAAAGGAATCCAAGCAAGTAGCAAGGTCTCTAAATTGTCTTCCAGTGACCACCACCACCATCATCACCACTATCATCACCACCATTTAGCCATCTCCATATCCACCCCCATCAGCAGCAGCAGCAGCAGCAGTAGTACCACAACAATCAGCACCACCATTACCGCTATTATCACCATCACCACTACGTCTGTCATCACCACCACAGTAACCAATGTCATCAGTAACGTTGTTCCCCAAAGTTACCCAGCTGGTAAGAAATAGGGCTGGAATTCAAAATGTGGTTGCTCTGACTCTAAAGCCCAAGTTTTTTTCTACCGTGATATAATTTCTCTCCTGTGTTTCCTCTTATCTCTATGACCCACCTCTTCCTTTGCTTGTCAGCTCTGGTCAGATCTTCCCCCTCTTCAATGCTCCCTAATTTTTGGCACCCTCTCAAGAGTAAATTACTTCTTTCACCCACGTGCTTTGTATAATGCACTTTTGGCTACCTTATATCAATGCTTACTATAGTCTAGTCCAGTGGTCGGCAAACTCATTAGTCAACAGAGCCAGATGTCAATAGTACAATGATTGAAATTTCTTTTGGGAGCCAAATTTTTTAAACTTAAACCTCTTCTAATGCCACTTCTTCAAAATAGACTCGCCCAGGCCACGGTATTTTGTGGAAGAACCACACTCAAGGGGCCAAAGAGCCACATGTGGCTCGTGAGCAGCAGTTTGCCAACCACTGGGCTAGTCTAACTTTTGAGAGCAGAAGCTGTTTATTGTTCAGTCTATCCCCCGATGCCCCAAATTTGGCTCATTAGTTATTTAAAGGTTTATAGTCTGAATCCATACATAAATATGGGTGCATAGATAGAGGACTGAAGAGACAGGTGGATAAAAGGATGAGTGGATGGGTTGATAAGTGCA